GTCATACACTATAGGGTTTTAAAGATTTTATTTATTTATTTGACAGAGAGAGATACAGCGAGAGAGGGAACGCAAGCAGGGGGAGCGGGAGAGGGAGAAGCAGACTCCCCTCAGAGCAGGGAGCCCGATGCGGGGCTCCATCCCAGGACCCCGGGATCACGACCTGAGCTGAAGGCAGACACTCAACGACTGAGCCACCCAGGCGCCCCTAAAAGCACTTTTCGGATTAATGAAGAAGAAAAGAATGGCTCAGAGAGGACTGCCTGGGCTTGGAGTGCTGAGGTGTGGGCTCAGCAGCCGCAAGCCGGGTGAGAGTGTAACGACCTGTGTCTTCAGGGTCGCTGTTTGCTGCTCAGACATGGGGTTCTCCTTCCCACTGAACCGGGAGCAACCCGAGGGCCCCGGGACGGCAGAGCCAGCAAGGAGCCAGCGTGTGTGCCCGGAAGCCCCTGTGTCTCCATCCTCCCTGGCGCATGTCCTCCAGGGTCAAGGATGCGGGTCCCTCCTCGGCCCGGAGGGCGGCCGTCCCTGCCCGCACATGAGATTCAGAGCTCGGGGCGGGTGTGAGCCGAGGGAGGGATCGCTCATGGTTCCTCCTCCCAGCTTGGCGGCGTGGGATCCACACACACTGTGTACGGCGATTGGATGCACGTCTGTGTTGTGAGATCACAAGTAGAGTTAGTTGGCACTCCGTTCACCGCACATCATTGTCGTGCAAGCGTGTAAACCACGTTTTCTTTCTTTTTTTTTAAAGATTTTTTTTTTCTTAAAGATTTTATTTATTTATTTGAGAGAGAGAGAATGAGAGAGAGCACATGAGAGGGGGGAGGGCCAGAGGGAGAAGCAGACTCCCTGCGGAGCAGGGAGCCCGATGTGGGACTCGATCCAGGGACTCCAGGATCATGACCTGAGCCGAAGGCAGTCGCCCAACCAACTGAGCCACCCAGGCGCCCCTAAAGATTTTATTTATTTGAGAGAGTGCGAGAGAGAGAGCGAGAGAGAGTGAGCAAGGTGAGGAACAGAGGGAGAAGGAGACTCCCTACTGAGCAGGGAGCCGGACGTAGGGCTTGATCCCGGGACTGCGGGATCACGACCTGAGCCGAAGGCAGCCACCCAACTGGCTGAGCCACCCAGGTGCCCCTAAACCACGTTTTCGTATCTGTTCATCTGTCTGTGGACATTTCGCTGTCTCATGTCTCGGCTGCTGTGAAGGTGGGGGCGCAGCTGTGTCCTTGGTGTAGGGCTTTCCTTTCCTGCAGACACGTGTCCAGCAGTGGGGTTGCTGGGTGATCACCGAGGGATACTTAAGTCTGACATCAAGGAGGCAGGGACGGAGCAGGGAAAGGGAGGTGGGGCTGGCGGGCCTGACACGTCCCCGTCCTGGGAGCGCTGGGCTCCTGGCTCCGGGCTCCGGGCTCCGGGGAGGTTTGGAAGGCCAGCGGGTCCATCCCCGCCTTTAACAGGTTGGCACTGATGCCTCCTAAAATGGGAGGCCCCAGTGGCTAACCAGCTACTTCTGGATTTGAAGTTCCTCTGTACTTAAAAAAATTTGATATTTGTCTAAATATCAAAATCAAGAATAGGGCGCCTGGGTGGCTCAGTCGTTAAGCGTCTGCCTTCGGCTCAGGTCATGATCCTGGAGTCCCGGGATCGAGTCCCACATCGGGCTCCCTGCT